TATATATATATATATATATATATATATATATATATATATGTGTGTGTGTGTGTGTGTGTGTGTGTGTGTGTGTGTGTGTGTGTGTTGGAACTCGCACAATTCATTTTTAGAGGAAGAATCACCTCTAAATTCTGGATATACATGTACTGTGGGTTTCATATTATATTATTCTAGTCCGTCAAATATTTCTATGTATTCCAAGATACAAGCATCTGCAGCACACGCGATTGCCATGAATACAATCCTTAGGCAAGACTTGACCTTAGAAATCAGCTTTCTGCGCAAGTTTCATGGTTTTCTTGATCTTGGGCCATCTCTGATACCGGAGGAGCTACGTCTACGCTTGCGTCTTCTTCTGGCGCGAAAACGTCATTGGCGTTTGTCTCTGACGTCGCTGCGTCACCGTCGGTTGTCGTCTGTTGTTGTTTTTTCCTTTTCACTCGTTCCTTCCACTCGTGTTGTTTGATGTGACCCTCCATTCTCTGCTTGCAGATGGTCGTATAGCTGCAGTGTTGGCACCTGAACTTGTCCACGACTTTGTGCACCTTCTTCATGTGCTGCGCCAGGTTGGACCTGAAGGCGGCCTTGTAGTCACACATGCGGCACAAGAACGGTTTCTCACCCGTGTGGGTCCGGATGTGGTCGTTGAGGTGGTGTTTCATGGAGGCGCTGTAGGGGCAGTACGGACACTTGTGCGGGCGGAACCCCGCGTGGATCCTCAAGTGCCGCACGTAGTTGGGCCTCTCGGCGGTCCTGTAGCCGCAGAACCGGCACACGTGAACGAACGGCTTGTCGTGCAAGAACATGTGCATCTTCATCTCGAGGTGTCGCGACGCCGTGAACGCGCAGTGCGGGCAGTGCAGGCGTTTCGTCGGAGGACGCGGTAGCGCGCTCATCCCCTCTCCGCCTCCTCCTACTCCGCTCCCGGGAGGTGATCCTTCGTCCAGCACGGTGAGTTCCCAGTGGTAGTTCACCATGTGGTTCTCCACCGCGGTGTTAGTACGCGACACGTACCGGCAGAACGGGCACCGGTAGACCTGCCTGGCGATGTGGACGCTGTACACGTGCGCGGTCAGGAACTCGTTCGTGACGGTTTTGAAGTTGCAGTAGGAGCAGACGTGCGGGTACTCGGCCGTGGCGTGGGTCCTCAGGTGGCTCCCCACGGCACCCCCGTGCACAGTCACGAATCCACAGTGGGGGCACTTCCACCACTTGCTCGGTGCTTTGCCTTGGTTCTGAAGCAGAACAAAACAAAACAGGAACAAAAGCAAATTCATGGCAAGACGACAACGAATGTTAGCATGAACGAGAAAGTCAATATTTACTACCAAAAACAAAATACTTCCTTCATTCTTTACAAACAAGTGATGTAAAAAAAGCGAAACGACAGCGTTAAAAAAATGAAACCTACCACCGCATTGGTATCTCCCTCCGTTTGTGACGTCATGGTTGAGTGGGTGTAGCCAGGCCCTTGATTGGCTAACAGGGATGCTGTTGCCTGGCAACCATCCGACGCCTGTCCTGACAAACTCTGCATGTTCACTTGTCCGAACTCTTCAGAAAATTCGTCTACCGGCTCCACCTTGATACGAACGTTCTCGAAAGGGTTGCGGGTGGTAAGATTTAGAACGCCGTTGTCATAGTTACCGTCGTCATAGCTACCACAGTGTTGCCCATCAGTCCCCTGATCGAGAGGCACTGTGGCGTTAGTCCGAACTTCTTCGCCGCCCGATTGGTGTAGAACACCGTTGGCAGGGAAACTGTAACCAATGTTTCCTTGGTTTCCATACCGTTCTATGATCGCGTCATTTGCCGTAGCTTGCCTTTCACTCTCCGTTGCCATGGCAACGTTGGCAGCAGTGTAGTAAGCGTCGGTCCCGTTTTTCACCTGCTCCCGGAAGTCATCGATCCTCTGGCTGTTGTGTGCGGCGTCTCCATGGTGATAACGGTCGTCCGTGGCAACGCCGTCGTCGCCTGTTTCACTTGGTCTGACCTGTTCTCCCCTGGAGTCACCGTTGTCACGACTGTGGTACCCGTTACCGTCCGTGGTCTGGGCCACTTCCCTATTGCTGCTTGGACACCTACCGTGTTCTGCCTCGCTTCTCGCGGAATATGGTACATCGTTCCGTCGTGCGTCGTTCTGTCTGTTGACCAAGGACAAACCGTTGTCAAGGTAACCACGCGTTTCCATGGAGCTCCCATCCACGCTACCCCTGCAGTCAGCTCTTGGTTCTTCACTTTTTGTGATTCTTAACGTATCGGCTGGTGCCACGGATGAAACATTACCATGTCGCGTAGTTTCATGAACACGATAATCTAGAGACATAGGCGTGGTAGACGACGAAAGCGGCCTTTGCCCACCTTGCGCTTCTTCTGTGAAACAACTTGAGGCTTGTTCATTGGTTTGATGCGTTGATTGATTCAAACCCTGTGTCGGCTCTAGCGCGTGCCTGTTCGGGACTGCAGCCGTGTAGAATTCTGCCATCCCGCCAACCGTCCCCGTATCGACGGCGAAACCTTCTGGGGACAAGACCGTTCCGGAAGACGACGTGGTCGAAGAGATTACAATGCCATAGCAGTCTGAGCCATCTTCTGATTGGTTCAGTTCGCTTCTAAATGCCTTTTCACTGCTGGTCTGACCAATAAGCGTCCGTTTTCCGTCCATAGGGCCAGTTTCTTGCGCTTCGAGTGCTGTTTCATCACTGTGGCCTGCGAAATCGGACTCGGGGTTGGACTGCGTCATTTCCGGTTTAGGTGACGTGTCCATCTCCATGGAAACGTACCCCTGCTCCGGGGAGGAGGTACAGAGAGAGAAGCGCCGGTCGCCGTGGCTGGCGTCACCGTCATCCAGCGTGAAGTCGTCCGTACCTGTAGACACACAAAAAACGACATTGCAGGATATGGTTTACTGCACTTTGTACTTATCATCCAAAACAAGCAAGGAGATTTTACTCCTAAGCGAAAAAGCTGTATACCTGTGCTGTATATATGCATATATGTATAATATTATGCCCCTGTCCTCTTCTTGTTCTGACCAGTCTTGTATAAAAGAATAGCATATTTCTGATAGTCAATATAGAGATTATCATAACCTTTTATTATTCCCAATCATTGTATTTCTAGTGTTGCAAGGCTTACCATCATCGTTTATGCACTTTATGATAATTAATTATTATTTTCAAACAAATGGGCAATAACTTGAAGAGAGAGAGGGTAGTAACCAGAAGAGATCAATATTTGATTAATCTATATATGCCTCTAGATACCTGCACTCTGTTGGTCAGCAATAGAGGAGGTTTTGGAAGACGTCTCTGCCTCAGTTAGATACTCCTCCTGTTCCTGATACTCCAGGACCATGACCCCCTTCAGCACCCGGACCAGGATGCCCCGCGCGTCGATCTCGCGCCTGCGCAGTTCCACCATCAGCTCGTCGAAGTGCAGTCTGGGAAGGACTGAGAGCGTGACGTCCTTGCTGAGTCCGCAGATCCGACGCGGCGCCATCTTGGTTGTCACTGCCGGTATCCAACAGTCGGGAAATCTGCGATATAATGAGAGAGATAGAAAAAAAATTATTTATTGCAAAACATTTTTTATATTCCAACATGTAATCACAAAACGTGGTGACGGCACACTCAAGTTTTTTTCAACTTATATTAATGCCGCCACCAACACAGGGGACAATACAATGTCGCGTAAAGTGCCTTTCCCAAGGGCACAAGATCAGTGGCATGTCAGGACTCGAACCTGGGACCTCTTGGTTCCGAGTCGAGCACTCTGCCGCTACGCCACACGACCCCACCCCATAGAGATATCTGATGTATTGCAAAACATTAAGATTCAGTAGGACGTTTGAACGTGGCGTTATAGCCACCATACTGGCTGGGTGGACTTTAATAGTCAGACCTGTAGATATGCATGTGTTTTCATGGAACTTTTGAACGTACAAAGTTACCTAGCCTAGTGGTATAACCAAACATGCGCACGGTGGGCAATTCTTATGTCACAGTTACATGAGAACAAATATCTTATACCAACAGAACCACGTCACATAGACGTACGCAATCTAAAATCATCTTGTTTTTAACGTCTGAAGTATGGTCGTAACGGCAGAGTGCTCGACTCGGAACCAAGAGGTCCCGGGTTCGAGTCCTGACATGCCACCGACCTTGTGCCCTTGGGAAAGGCACTTTACACGTCTTTATTCACTTAACTCAAGTCAAAATGAGTATTGTCTGTCCTGTATTTGTTCTATGTGTGGGACACAACACCAGCAACAGCTGCCTTTGTTCCACGTGTATTGTATTGTTACAATCTTAATAAATCAAACGTTTGAAGTACGTACTATGTCATTTTGGATCCTATTTTCTGGTATCAAACCATCAAACGTTTACGTTACGCGTGTCCTGTTGATTGACGCATTCTTCTTGATTTATCTGCATATTTTGCAAACATGTAACCCATTAATCACGTGCACGCTTGTTTGTGTATATCATAATATACAGTGATAGATATTTTGTATATAAAATAATATACAGTGGTGGCGTCGGTGGCGCAATGGTTAGAGCGTTGGACTCGGGAACATAGGTACCAGTTCGATACTCACCGTGGCCCGACGTTGTGCCCTTGGGAAAGGCACTTTACACGACTATACGGTGGAGTGACGCCCACCAAGAAATTTATGTTTTTGATAGCGTTTGTATGAGTATGTGTGTGTATGTGTGTGTGTGTGTGTGTGTGTGTGTGTGTGTGTGTGTGTGTTGTTGTTGTTGTTGTTTAGCACAATACTAGTAACTCAAGAAGCCTATGGATGGATCCCAATGATATTTGATGTGTTAGTAGGTCTTGATGAGCCCGCATATTGATTGAATTTCGCCCCCCCCCCAGCGGCTTGTTATGGTATTGCAGTGGAACTTCCTGTTGAAACATCACACTGTAATCTCAGCACCATCATACTGGTTTTCAAAAAGAAAATTTTCTGCTCAACTTTCTTCTTGTCTCTCTAGAAAGCAATTTTAGGGGACTTTTAGATTTGAGAAGTAACTGTGAATAACAGGTGGCAAAACCTCTAGTTGTTTTTTTATTTCATTTTTCCAAGCAAAAAATAACACCCCGCCGTATCCGTGGCACTATATTACTATTTCTTTTTTTGGCTGTAAAAAGACTAGCCAGCCGGCACTATACTCTAAATTATCTGCACAACCGATGCTGCAACTGATTGATCACTCATGCACTTTTTTCTGTACACAAGGAAAATTTTTCTCAAGCAACTGGATGTACTTTGAAAAATATAATTCAGGATAGGATCATTACCCTGTACTGTTTGGTTAATCTGCATTCTTGAAAGACGGTCTCCTGTAGCTACAACAGTCATATCCTGCTTCAAAACACATGTTCAAAACAAACATCTACCTCTACTTTTTGTGTAATAAACACACCGTATCACTGTCTCCATTGTTATCACAACACTGTATGTACGGATGCACAGATAACTCACACAAACTATGGCAGACAGACCCCCAAAGGCCCGTATCTGTGAATAAGGCCACACCGACTTGATTTTATGGATGACATCCGCGCGCGCATTGATTTTCGCCTGTTCTACAAAAAAAAAAAACATCACGTCCACCGAGGCTCTGGCCTGGCTCTAGGCCTGGGTAGTCCATGGTAGTTATTAGCGACAATACGGAGCAGGGCACCCAGGCTACCGAAGCTCCACGACTCAAGAACTCAGTACATACGTACAGTGCCGATTCATAAATTCCGCACAAAGACAGCATGTGTCGGCTTGTCGTATACGTCGCTAAGTACTGCTACCGAAAATTCACAATACCAACTCTGTATTTCTTTGAATTTTTTTTATTCGCCCGCGCGCACTAGCTTGGGGGTCTTCAGAGGATGTCATCCATAAAATTAAGGCGGTGTGGCCTATCTCGCCCGATCGCCAGCTCTGAAGGACGTTTCCTCAGTAATAAGGTCAGGGTTCACAGGCTAACGTACCCTGTCCAGAGTAGACTGGATTTTCTGGTAAGAAAAATACGCTAGAAGCTCTGGCCATTTTGAAAAATCCTGCGACCCATTAGCCACATTTAGCCCTAGGCGGCTATTTTGTACATACCACAGCTTCACTTTTTCTTATTTTGCTATATTTTGTTTTTGCACAGCCATCACCGGTCGCGCCAGGGCACTGACCCCCTGGACGTTACACCCCGTGAGGGGCATTGTCCAGTACTGTGTAGATGTAGATGTAGATGTAGATGCAGATGTAGATGTAGATGTAGATGTAGATGTAGATGTAGATGTAGATGTAGATGTAGATGACCCTGTGACGATCAAGTAACTAGGCCGAAGGTCGAGGACAGCTGTAAGGCCTGTTTAACTACCTCTGATATAATGCTAATTATTCCAAACGATTATCTTCCTTCTCTACACGATCCTGACGAAAGTAAACATTTTAATAAAAGAAATCAATCATTTTCACTACAGGGATTACCTTAGTATATTAATGAAGATTAGCACGTTTCATTGAGACATCAATGACTAACCATGTAATTATGAGTGATGATGCGTCATAGGTGCGAACAGACAAACGCAACATGAAAGAAACTATCAATTACTTTCACTACAATTTCGGGCAAACACCTTTTACTACGAGCTATTTGAAAAGTACCGACAAGGTGTACTGTGCAGTGTGCGCTCGTGTGGAAGTAGGTCATTCTAGGACAAGGTTAAAACACTACCACCCAGTCTTCAACCAATTACGAATTAAGTTGATAAGTTACATCATAGGCCACACCATTTTAATTTGTTGGTGTTTTTGATTTGCAAAAAAAGTCTCTGAATCAACTCCAAAATGCTCATTTTTGTTGGCCCGAACAATTTAAGAAAGTCCTTTCTCTTCAGAGTTGTTTCAGTTTTTCGATCTATCAATGCAGTGGTTTTATTACAAGTTTCAAATCCATTGTTAGAGTTGCAAAATAGTCTGATATGTTGACTTTATGGCTCCTATCATAGCATTATATTTTTTATTAGGTGCTATCGTAAGATGCCTTGGCCTGTTTATATTTATATTTTTATCGCTCTGCCACTTCATACTTTTATGAAAAGATCCGAGAACCAACAAATCAAATTGGTGTGGCCTTAGTATTGGAAACATATCCAACAAAGATTTCATCGAAATTAGATGCATCTAGAATTTCGATATATCAAATATCACTTAGATATAAAAGTAGTATTGTAGTGGTTATGGTATGAGCAAAGATAATTTCGTCACCCCGGTCAGCTTTTACAAGACGCTTATTAATTCCTGCAGCTCAAAAAAAGCAATTACTTTCACTAGAAATTTAGATACGTTTTACTACGTGACTTTTGTAAAAACGCCTGTAATTGGCCAGGTGTTCTGTGCGCTCATCTGGGATGCCATTTCAGGACAATGTCACTAGAAACTACTACCACCACTACTGTCTTAAACCTTATTTCCAATCAGGTCTTTTAGTGGCTGCAAAGGCAGTATCAAATTGGCCAGACTGTATCCATTTCCTAAACAATTACCACTTGCAACTCGAAGCTGGCGTAAAAAAGGACACCACTACAAAAAAAGCCCGATAAAAAAGCCTAAAACACTTGTTTAAAACGCCCAATACTTGAATAGTATTTTACACCATCAGTGGTGCCAAGGAACATGTTAGTCTTTAAAAATGTTTTTTAAAAAGATTCAATACAGTTTTACCGTGCAATCCCAATATACAACAAAGGTACAAGGTACAGGTTTGTCTTGCAGTGATTATTCGTTCATAAGCTGGCTTAAACGTAACCAATTATATAGAGTTTATAATAGGTGCAGATGTGTGCGTCATGTTCGCGACAAACATAACAACATAGCATTCATGGAGATCTTGTCATTACTATTACAGCATCAAAAATCTAGAGATTTATGTACATGTCATTGGGTATCTTGTAGCCTACGGGAACGCTGTCCTTACTTTACACAGACCAGGTCTTAGAACTGAGGTTACAATGCGTAATAAGTGTTACTCGTAAAGTCTCTGATACTCGTTAACCCATGTCACTCGTAAAATCCCTCAAATGTTTAAACATTTTAATTAGACTGGCGCAGCCGAATAGTAGCCAGTCTGTAGTCTCCACCAGACTCCTTTGCAGGCTGATAAATAGTAGAAATCGGCCTAAAACGGGGATATCTTTGGCCAGAGGAGTTGGCCAGCCGAATGTTTCAACATGTTTAAACATTTGGGAGGAGGGGAGGGATTTTAGTGTCAATTAAGGACAGCGTTCCCGTAGGCTAGAAGATACCCAATTACATGTACATAAATCTCTAGACCTATAGTATGTAAATAATGTCTAGATCTACATCTACATGTAAAGAATACCACAAAAGAATAAAACACTGCAGCCTCATAGCCCCACGTTACCATCTGTCTGTAAAATGCATTTTCTTGTCTTTCTAGTGATTACTAAGGCGACTGACGGAACTTAATGCATAATTAGACTGACCTAACAAAGTTTACAAGATTCTGGAATGTGGTAAGGAGCTACTACAAGTACGCATCACAATCTCAGTTTGAACTATACCTGTAATTATGTAGTGATGTCAGGTAAGGGCACAGTACCCTAAGGCATTTAGAAACCCATGGTGATATAGAAATGATCAAGTACTTTCATTGTTCTATGGTACATTCAATCATTCATTGCTCTATGTTACATTCCTTCATTTGTAGCTATTTTGCAAATAGCCACTCACACAGATTCTGGATGACCCAATTTGTCTGATATTGACATTTACTGCCATTTATTAACGCATTTTGTCATCATTTCATTTTCTTAAAGCGGTTGAAATAGCCATAAAACAGGCTACGTGAAGAGTCCCTTTATTTTTGGGTACCACCAATAAATAGCTAGAACCAGCCTACATGGCTAAGACACAAAAAGAGCAACGTTACCGTTTTCATCACATTTTTGTCTCACAGATTTTATGATTTTAACCAGCCTAATCTCTTGTCTCACAGATTTTATGATTTTAAAATGATAAGAAAATTGATCTTGAAAATCAAGTATTACAACCCTAAAATTGTTTGGGATGCCAATAAAGATTTCACTATCGGTGTTATAATCTACTATCGGTGAAAACATGTGTATGTATATGTCTCTGCAACATTGTCAACAAACATTCACGGAACATCAACAAACAGTTAGCGAAGCATTCGACAAGAAAGAGAACTATAATGCTAACACGAGAACTAAAGCTCAGCATATCCTCAGCAAAAAGAGACTGAAAATTGTAAATTTATCAGTCATAGTGTGAAATTTACAGTTGCAGGGAAATATATGCCAGCCTGCGATATTGAATGCTTCAATTAAATCATAAATAAGTCTATTTATGAAGCTATCACTTTGAAATTCATTGTAAGGAGGAGGGGCGCGCGTGGCACATTTCATATTTCTACATTTATTTCTTCATAAATGTAAAAATGTGAAATACGAAAAATTTCTACATATATTTATAGATTTTAACATATTTGTAGAAATAGAAAAATGAAAAATAGGGGCCTGGTTCCCAGTATTCTATTCAAACAGCACTACATGTTAGAGAACGGTTTGATTTTTCCTTGACCTTCTGGAGTTACTAGTAACCTTCTAGAACCATCGCTTACTGTTCCCTATGTCAATTGCAACCTGCTCGGTCATAAATAACAATGACACACAAAGCACACCGATTGGTGCACTCGGCTTTCTACACGTCTGACTCTGGTGAGAGTTGTCAAACCATTTTAGCGTCAGCACGTATACGGAACACCTAGTCTGATGCACACAAGCGTTCAGCAACATGGCGCTTACACAAAGACAGTCCTGACAGCGTACACATATATAAATACTTAGGGGAGTGTTCGGAATGTGTAGTTGAACCCCATTGTAAGTGGCAGTTAAGCCCCATGAATTGATATAGTGATATTATCACTCATAACACGCATATAATATTTATGATTGCTACGTTAAAATTGCATCTACTTCTGTCCAGCATCTCAAGATTTTCTGTCCACACACACACACACACACACACACACACACACAGGGACACAAAAACCCCCACACACACGCACGCACACGCACTCACGCACGAACATGGACACACATAAACACACGCGTGCGCACACCTTCTTGACAAAGGTAAGAGATTATCAAAAGTTCAAATTAAGTCTGGAAGAAGGTGCATATGCGTATACAAGAATCAGGCATGCACATGCATGGATGGATATTTTCAAAAAGGGCCCTACCTTTTTTCCACACTCTCGGTACAACAGCACGCCCCTTTCTGACTTCAGTCTATCGTCAAGATTGTAAATCACAAAAACAGCACGTCAAACCAACAACATGCCAAGTTCACAGTTTTGAAGAAAGGATCATAGTAAAAGCCTCTGAACGTATCGTCTGGGCATTTCACAAATTCCGACTTACGTTTTTCAGCCTTCAGGGTGTGAAACAAGATCTTAGCGAAATCAAAGCCGGGCTGAAAAGGGGGACTGTTGTGACACACATGTATTGTCGTGAACAAGCCGTCTTCACAAAATCCCCGAGCATCCACTTGTCGAACTGGTTTTGTTTAATGATCCAACAGGAAAGCACCGATCAGCGGGGCCATGTCAAAAGTTCTGTCGTTACAAATCTGACTTATGATAAATCAAACCAAATTCTTTCACGTTTCAGAAGCCTTCATCTACTTTGCAGGTGCTTTGAAGATGGCGAGTGTGTGTATGCGTTTGATATAGACATAATGGACATAGTTATGGCGGAATAAAACGCCATAACTATGGCGTTTTTTTCAGCCACCATTTAGAAAGAGAAAACAACTACTGCAATTCAGGCACAAAAGAATTTCAAACAAGATCATGTCAGCTATGCCAACAACAGCGACAACTAATTTTTTTATCAACTACATGTGTAGTGTTTCGTAGCATTTATATGTAGAATTTTAACATTCCTGGCAAGTAACCTAGTATATACACTCTGTTTAGTAGCCATAGAACATGTTTAGTATAATTAGGTACAACTGCTCACTGTACCCTTCATGTGTATAGTTTAGCGTAATGTAGAATGTACATGTCATGTAGAGTCTAAATATTCTCTAGCCAGTAGTTCTTTATAATACTCTGTCAGATACAATGTCCGTTGACCATATATATAGCATTATGTTAGACACATACCAACTAGTAATTTTATTATTTGCCATACATTGTACCCGTGACAATCGTTGTGCAATAAACTTTGACTTGACTAATGTGTTCAATGAAGTCTTGGGCACCTAAAACTAGCCTCTACCAGGCTTCGTGAGGCGGCTGGAAAGAGTAGAAATCGGTCAAATAGAGAGATAACATGCCGAGGGAGTTGGTCTGCTAGGAAGAACATTTTGTCGCTCCCTCGTCATGTTATCTCTCTATTTGACCAATTTCTATTCTTTCAGCCGCCTCCCGAAGCCTGGTAGAGGCTAACCTAAAACGACTTCCTAGCGCTGACGAAATAAAACGTTTTTTTTCAGCCGCCCATTAACAAAGAGAAAACAACTGCCAACTCAGGCAAAAGGATCAAACAAGTTTATGTCAGCTATACTAACAACAACAACTTACAACTAAAGTTTTCGAAGGCGTGGGCACCTAACACATTGAATGGAGATGATCGGTCAAGATTGCATCCTTGAAAATTAAACAAAAAAGGGCTACAAATTAGTTGTGACTAAGTCGTGACTACAAGGTGTACTTCAAACTAAATGAGTTACGACTTCACGACAAACATCATTTATAAGTTACGACAAGAAGGCGAGATTTACCGACAAAGACGCGTAGTCACACCTTGTTTCAGCTTGTTGTGGGGTGGTCGGTGGAGCGCATCTAGGCGGTATCCTCGTCCAACTCTTTCATGTGTCCGTGTAAAAACCTGTGTACCCAAAACAAGCCAAGCTTTCAACCTTCAGGTTTTCAACCATAGCCTCTACCAGGCCCCTCGGGATGCTGAAAAAAATACTAGAAATTGGACAAGAAGACTAAACAGTACACAACTCTGTTAAACTATTCAGTCTACTAGTATAGGGCAAATTTCTACTATTAATATTTTTGCCATCAACCCGGAATCCTGGTAGAGGCTGTTTTAACCCCAAATTGTTTTATGATCTAACACGTGTAGTACTTTTAAGGCCATACTATCTTAATTCTACGGATGACATCCTCCGGAAGCCCTAAAATTAATGCGAGAGGGTGAATAAAAAAATCGGCATAAAAATGCTGTTAAACCGGAGGAATACAAAGCTGGTGGTACTGCGAATTTGCGGTAGTACATAACGATTTTTACAATCCGACACATGCTGTACTTTTGCAGCATTTAAGAACCGGCACTGTGTAAAATTATGGAGTTCCGTTGAGCCTTGGTAGCCTGGGTGCCATATTCCGTTGTTACCACCGGTTCCCTATTGTCGCTAGCTGGACTACGGAGAATGGCATGGCTAAAACCTCGGAGGATTTTTTTGTTTCATAACAGACAAAAATCACTGCGCGCACGGATGTTATCCATAAAACTAAATCAGTGTGGCCTACCTCAAGTACAGGCGTGACTGAATGACCATAAGGGCAATGACCTGACACGTGGTAATGACTCATGGCAATAGAACTATAAATCTTTTGCAGGTATGCATACCTTCTCAATCCTTTTTTTTACAACGAAACCCCTATAGCTTCTTTTCTCTATTTCTAGACTTGTACATGTATAGTTCCTTACACAAGGGCACTTCCAAGAATAGGCAGGAAGCCAAGCGTGCTACAACGTCAGGGGCGCAAACAAAGGTAAGGAGAAGTTTCCGCGAGCCGAGCGGGACGGCATCCGTGTCGGGCGGCGGAACTCTGCCCACCGGCCCGCGCGCCCAACGGCTCTGAACCTTATCCCCATGCAGATGTTGAAGTGGCTGCAGGACAGCATCAAATTGGCCTGTACAAGAAGGGAAGCCCAATGAGAAACGCCTAAAACTGCAGAAACAAGCCCCAAGATGAGTCCTTTATTTTTGGGTGGTACCCTAAAAATCGGCCAAGAGCCCTTCCAGTAAACATTTTCCGTCAGAATTTTGGGAATTTCTACGCCATGAAGCTAGGTCAATATACATGGGGATAGTGTGGCTGCAACTGACTATGTAGGTAAATGACTAGAATATTGGTTTTAAAAATCAGGTTTCCAAGCCCTAAAAACTGCACTGGATGCCTTTAAGGGGAAGGAGGGGGTTCTATTTCCTACGGTACGGCTTTAGGGCGTCAATGTAATAGATCGAAGAAATCGCCCTCTTTTCGGCAAGGACAACCAGCAATTAGCCTGGGTACCAGACTGTTTCCAGGGCCTGCACAGACCAGTTCCTCGACTCCATGGCCAACTTGTCCCCACAGGAAATTTTACCCCTGCCCCCAGGCTCCTCACACCACACGCTGGCTAAAAAGATCCTCTTTTGACGGCCAAAAAATACCGTCGCCGGAGATATCTTGACGATAAGCATTCGCACGACTACTAGTATTCAACAGTCTAAAGAGAGCCTAACACTGGGCCTGGCATCCAGGCTATCAAACATGCACTACAGCGCATCGTCGTCTTTTATACTAAAATTTAAACTAAATTTTTAGTAGAATAACGAACTACTCTACTCTACTCTACTCTACTCTACTCTACAGTACAACTTGCCTCTGACATACTTCCATTGTCCCGGTTCGTGCTAGATTATAAAAGACGTGAGTGAAGAAAACATAAGGTAACGACACCTGTATCATCAATGCCTTAAGACATCCGACACACGACACCTCTCAGTTCATGTTTACCTTAAGAACAAACAGCAATCTTCACCCTCGCCGTGAGCCACTCCTTAAGACGTCTTGTAAAAGCGGTGTTTAGAGTAGTTATACTCGACACAAGTAACGCCCAAAGTATGGTGTTTTGTAACTCGGCAATTACCTGAGCTTCTGGTATCCTCAAACGACCGAGTGAGTTGAATAAAAGTCGCCTGCGGTGAAAGACCAACCATTTCAACAGTACACTACCTGAACTACCACTATGGGGGTCTGAATGGCGGTTTCCGTAACGCCTAATAAGCCGTTTCAAATCTACATACACTAATTAGAAGACAATTTATCCAATGTGACGTTGAGTGAATTCAGGAATTTTAAGTTGGGAAGATTTTGAAATAAGCGCAAAACGTAGCCGGTACTACCGAATCCACCGTAAAGTGTACTGGCGACCCCCATGCAGACCCCTCCTGTGCCACACGAGGTATGCTTCACTGACTACCCCAAGGTCACTCTCCAAGCAGAAGATAAACAAGGTGAAAGGTCAAAGGGCAGGGACCAGTAAATAAGCTATCTCTATGGTCCTTAGTATGCCCTAAGGTAAAACCAGAAAAAACAGTCACTTCAAAACAGTTTATATTTCAAAGTTTAGTTTTTATTCCCGCCCCAAAGCTTTTTTTTTTGGTGAGTTACTTTGGCAGTAGTTTAATTCTAGCAACTTATGTTGACTTCGACTACTTCGTTCTTGACAATAAATGATAGTTGTGGACATATAAAATCGCATAGAAAAAAAGATGTTATATAGCCGACACTACATCAGCTTTGTTATTTGTCAGATTATTCATTATCATTGTAATATTAATCGTATTTTGATTCCTTTTGTTCCCTTCTTGTTCTGAAGTATGGCTATTCTGTGAATTATGTCGTTGAAACGTTTGTTTGTTGGCATTTAAAATGACACATAATTTGTACTGATTACGCTTCTGTGCCGTGAGTACCGTGACTTATTTCACAGGTGTCATTTTAACTACAGCTGGTGACGTCACCTCTGCAACTACCGAATTAGTTTCACTTCCACGATTTCAGTCAAAACTACCTCACTCAGGCCTCGAAATCAACTTTCCTCCCTTCTGTCCCAGCACTGTCTCAAGAGCGGTAGAGTGCTCGACTCGGAATCAAGAGGTCCCGGGTTCGAGTCCTGACACGCCACCGATTTTGTGCCCTTGGGAAAGGCACTTTACACGACTTCCCTCACTTCGCTCAGGTGAAAATGAGTATTGTATTGTCCCCTGTGTTGGTGGTGGCATTAATATATGTGTATAATGACGTCCTTGGATTCAGTATGTTGACTTTCCATTTTGTTGACAAATATTCAGACCACTGGGTGGCCCCTTTATAGTGAGAAGTTCTTTTATTGCAAATCATGCCCAAGGGCCGAAAAAGTACAGAATGTATTGAAGAATGGTATAATTCCACATGCTATTAAACATGTTATAGTAGCGTCCGTTTCTAGCTCAGCATTACATATTTGCGTATTCGCATACATATATGCCTTACTAGCCGCGATAAGACAACAAAATGATATTGAACAATTGTTAAATTGGACATGACTCAAGGCTGATCACAATCAGGTTTACGTCAGGGCACGGGAGGGCACGTGGGGACATCGTGCTGATATCCCAAGGTCGGAGTAAGGGCACGTCGGGACAACGGGTAAAACGTGAGGTCTTAGCGGCAGAGCGCGCGACTCGGAATCAAGAGGTCACGGGTTCGAGTCCTGACATGCCACCGATTTTGTGCCCTTGGGAAAGACAATTTTACACGACTTCCCTCACTTCGCTCAGGTAAAAATGAGTACTGTATTGCCCCCTGTGTTGGTGGCGGCATTAACACAAGTTGAAAAAAAACTTGAGTGTGCCGTCACCACGTCTTGTGATTAGATGTTGGAATATTAAAAAAAAAAGTTGAACCGGTTTCTTAGAGCAGCCGTAACGCCATAGGCTGTTTGTAGTCACGTGATCACGACGTAGTTTGATCCACCATGCCATTGGTTGAAAGGTTTGCAGTGGCAAAATCGTAACTGCTATTAAAGATCTCCCCTACTTCCGTGGCCATAGGACAAATTTTGGCGGGGGTTAAAATAGATATGCTTGGATTTAATAGTGCAAAGGCGCACACGAAGTCATGGTATTAGAAATCTTATTAACAGTGTTAGATATACAAAAGCAAAAACGAAATAGAGCAGACTATCTTTTCTATCTTATTTGCAAGTGTTAAGTGCACATGTAACCACTGAAATGTGGTTCTACAACCATTTAAAAGCGTGTAAGCATTCGACAGTGTAACCGACAAACCAACGAAACAAACAAACAGCCAGCCAACCAACCAACCAACTAACCGATCAAACAGACAGACAGACAGATAGACAACAGACAAAGCACCCAATTGCAACAAACCAACGAAACGCTATTGAAAACACCATGCATGCCTTTGCCAACTGGCCCTGACAGACGTGTTACACAAAAAGCCCTGCACCCACTCACCGTACCACGAGTCACAAGCCTCCACGAGTCAGCGAACCTGGCACACCGTGTCGCTGAAGTTTGCACATTGGGTGTTCCGCCGGAACAATGGATTTATTTACACGGAGAGTTCTCGGGGACTAAGTGACGTGACGCCTCGCACGTACGGACAAAACCTGTGGCGCGTATACGGTGAACTTTGCCCTGATCACAAGTCAGTAGTAATCTTGGTGCAACAGAACGTACGAAACAGGCTTTATGTGGTGATCGGACGGATACATAATGGCTCAAGATCATGTAAAATGTTTGGCAGAAGAATGAGAGAAGGGAAGGAGGGAAGGAAGGAAAGAAAGTTTGGGAAAGGAAGGACAAAAGGAAAGAAGCAAGGAGGGAAGCAAGAAACCAAAGAAAGAGAAAGAAAGAAAGAGAAAGAAAGAGAAAGAAAGAAATTAAAGAAAGAAAGAACGAAAGAAAGAACGAAAGAAAGAAAGAAAGAAAGAAAGAAAGAAAGAAAGAAAGAAAGAAAGAAAGAAAGAAAGAAAGAAAGAAAGGAAGAAAGAAAGAAAGAAATGGACATGGAAGTCAGGGTTTTTGCTGTTGGGGGTAGTAGATCTAACAAAAGAAATTACATTACAATGGCAAGAGAAGATTTACACTTTAAATAGTCAGAAGATTTACCTTGGTCTTAAGTTGCTAGTTTGGTAGTCTCCAAGCTGGCAAGCAGATATTACGTTAGAGAGGGCGCAACAGTTTATGACGATGGACCACCTCTGACAGCCCCTCAGCCCAACATATGGTGTTTTCCTGTAGTCTAATGAGTCTAAAACCTGCCCATTGCTTCAATTGATTGCTGGTAGCTAAAAAGAAGAACTGATTCCTGGAATACTAATAATATATTCAACAGTGGGCAAAGTACTGTAAGTTACGTGATAATAGACCTTATATTTGATTAATGCACATTGTTCCCCTTTTGAGTGCGATATGGTGCTTGTACATGTATACATGTACGAAACTATGTTTGTTAGTTGTTTAGTGCAAGAAATTTTCCCGGAAACGCGTCTGCATATTCCACGAACTGCGTGTTCCGCAAGCTGCGAACTACATGCATTAGTACCGCTTCCGCGTCAATTTTCGGTTGTTGACAAGTTTTAGAACAATACATGTTCTCTCACAGGGCCACAGGGAAGCATTTCTTGACATTTCCTCTGCACTGATTTTGCAGAAATATTTGAGCATTTTCCAGGAACCTCGTCTTCCCCAAAAATTGTGAAACCACCAATTCCTAATTCATATCCGAAAGTTGACATTTGAATACTAGTATGGTCAATACATAATCTCCAAGCAGAGTTGTAATCTCCAAGTAGATTCGGTGGGGCAAGGGGACTTAATGTTAGCCGCCTGTATCCACAGCCGACTGTAGGGGTGGACAATGGATACGGCATGCCCGTAGCCGGGGGGGGGGGGAGGGGGGTCGAAGGATTTTCTTTAAAAAAAGGAGTGATTTGTATCACCAGTGGGGGTTGGGAATCCTAGAAAAAAAAACTAGCTCACTTTGTCATTGATTGAAATTATTTCCAATTTTCTTTGAAACGCAGGAAATGCCATTTCAAAAGGTCCAATTTTCAAAATTTTCCGGGGGAGTATACTCCCGGACCCCCCTGGAAATTCACGACTACGGCGCTCGCTGGTCCCTCAGACAGTAGGAAGAACCCCCACCCCAAACAAAATCCTGGCCACGGGCATGTACAGGCGGCTGCACATGAAGTCCCCTTGCCCCACCGGATCTGCTTGGAGATAAGTATATACACGCGTATTCGTCACAAGGAAGTGTTTCTTGAAAAATACCAAAGAGGATATAACTTTTTCTCGGAAAGGCCCCGAGGCGCTTCTGGGTGTCAAACAATCAGGTGTTCCCCAATTTCCACTTCAGTGCATCTCTGGTCCCCGTTAGTGTACTACTTGACTTTTTTTTTCAAATCAAGATTTCTTTCGAACTTTGCCCTTTTTGTGAAATAGCTACGGGGCTAGGATAGGGAGATAGTAAATGCTTGTAATGTCCGCAAGCCTTTAAGCTACAACAAAAAGGTGGACTCCTCTTGTTTACGTACAGGTGTGGTGAGTCCTTTGCTCGATGCTCCCCTCAAACAAGGAACCGACCTGAAAAAGGCGACCTGTTCGCTGAACTGTGTCCGCGTAAGCGAATCTGGGATTTGAACCCAGGGACGCTAACCACTCCCACTGCGGCACGGTAGCTATGATCTATCAAGGATCTACAAGTCTCCGCAGGTGTATGCAACAAACGTCTTTGATCTATGAATGTGTGTCTTATTTACCTTTCACTTTACACTTTACAAAGTGTACGTGGGGAGGGGGGCAGTATTGAATCTGAATCCCAAACGTTGGTTTATGACTGCAAACACTCTTGATACTGTATATCTTGAGTGTGCCCTTAAGATAGCTGTTGTCATCAGGTAGATACCCCCTGTGGTGTTCATTAAACCATCCAATGACAGTACAGTCATTTTCAATGACTGGACTGGTCCATATCATGATAGTCGCAGAGAGCGTGCTCAGTCCGTATTCGCTCTTTTTATGCGGCAAGATTTCCGGCAAGGATCCATGACACACAAAAAAAGACAGTTTTATGATTAATCCACGACTGTCATAACTGTCTTCACTAGTATTTGTCATAACCTAGTCATGATAGTAGTTGAACAACGAAACGTGAAATGGCTACTAACGTCAAACATGTAGTGTACGGGAGTAACCCAACAAGGTAAACCAACGTTAACGTGCCCAAACATATCGCAATGTTGCAAGGCACGCACGCAGCAAGGCAAACAAACGCTAATACCGTTACGCGAACCACGCCGAAAGAACAGGTATTTCGCATGACGAGCGCGTTGTGCTAAAAGAGCTACACCGTACCTTAAACAGCTCGAGCAGTGCGCTAAGACGTCTCAAGGCGTCTGTAAGGAGCCTGGGAAGACGCTGAATCTGTTGCGACTGACAGTTACCTGCGGGTTAGCAGGTGGGATGGCCTCGGAACAGCCAATGGCGGACATTGAACGACGGGCGCGGGCGGACGCTCTGAGAGGTCAAAGGTCGAGTTTGCTACCTGATGACCCAGAGAATGGCGTTGTGTTTGCCATGTCCTTTTATGACTATGTGTGAAGCTTTTGCTTCAATTGGCATGCGTTTTTTTACCCTATAGGGTTTCTTTGGAGGAGTTTGTAATGGTATAATGGTGTTTGTGATTTAGTTATCCGCAAAATCCAAGAATATATGGATAGGATGTTTATCCGATGTTATCAAAGTTAGACATGGTGGTTAGTATTATTTTCTTCAATTTTTTAGTGATGACGCCATCAAACGGCAGCATCCATAACGGGCAGCATCCAGATAAAGAAAGAAATCAAAACAAAACGTCAACATCATCTCTAGACTCCTGTAGAGGCGACAAAAAGGTTGATAACCGAGAGATGGAGAGAGAGTGTTTAGACAAAGGTTTACTGAAATTTATTTGTATAACAAACTGGAGTCTATAAACTGTGGCCATTTCTAAGCACATTTTCTTGAATTTAGCTGCACTACAGTAAAAAATGATGTAGTGCAACTGAAGTCAATGATAAGATTTGCTCTCACGTTATTCTGTTGTTCTCTATTATTCTGTGATTCAAATTTTACACATATTACACATGCACTTGCATATTACTGGATACATATACACCAACCCTGTCTGGGAGGACACTCTTTCTTAAAGGACATTTTGCTCAGTCCCTTGAGTGTCCTCTGCCGTCAGGTTTGGCTGTATAACAGACCCTCTCTGTAACATCTGCAAACGCTGATACTGCGGCCTTTACACATTCCGCCAGGAGGCGTGCCTACCCTGCTACTGTCCTTGCTTTCACGACCCTCCAGGCATATACACGCCGTTAGCGTTCATGCCCGTAGCCAGGGGGGGTTCGGAAGAAGGCTCAAAGGTCCACTTTTTGGTCCACTTTTTATGTAAAGATCCAAGATTTTTCTTGAAAAGATGGACTGGAATCGTAGAAAAACTGCTCCCTTTGTCATTGAATAAAAATTTATCTCTGATTTTTTCTTGGAAATCCTCTCAAAAATGCACGAAATGCCATTTTACAAGGTTCATTTTTCAAAATTTTCAGGGGGAGCATGCTCCCGGACCCCTTTAGGAACCCCTCGCCTACGGCGCTCGAGGTCCCCTGAAGCAGTGGGAAGAACCCCCCAATTCAAAATCCTGGCTACTGGCATGGCGTTTGTTTGTGGTTTTGAGGTGTAACAGTTGTGTTGGCATCCTTCTGTCTCGAGAGAAAATGGAGACCATGTCAGTTCCTACACCTGAGTGAGGAGGGTTGACACGGTAGCCTTCGCTTGGATTTATTTAAGGTGGATAACAGGTTGCGAATCTGAGACCCACACGCTTTGGGCATCCGTCTTCCCCAGCGGCACCACAGGAAGGGAGACGTGCTGGTGTAACAGTAACCCAATAAGCTATTGATAGATTCTATGGTATTTGGTACTTGGTTCAAAAAATAAAGAACAAGATCGACATGCGAGCCCTTTATGATTTAGTATTGCTCTATTAGCTCCTTCAAACAAACAGCACTTATTCCTCCGTTTTCAAAAGAAATTAAACCCAGCATAAATTAATAACGTAAAAGTTTACAGTAGATTGGATTATTTGATCCGACTAATATTGTATTTATGTGTACCGTATAGTGACTACGGAAACTGTCACTAGCTCAATACTAATTGGCATCCAGACTTTGACGTATGATAATAAAGCTATTGTGCTCGTTGATAATAACGTCGCACCGTGGAAAAGTGGAAGTCGAGGTATTGAAGTAAAACCTAATTCTCTACACACTGCAGTTTTCACACATTCCGCCTAGAGTCGTGGCTGCATTGCTTGTTCTCCATAAAGCTGCAACCTGAAATACCTGTTTTTAGCGTACGTGACGGTTGGGCATGGTTTCCTATCGTGATAGTACTGGCCTCCACAAGGCCTTCCTATATAGCTACGGAGGTACGGATCGTATATAGAATTCGGTAAAAGGGAAATAATTGGCAAGGAGAGATAGTCTGTTCCCTTCATTCTACATGTCCTCTATTATCTAAAATTGATAATGAGGAACTGCCATTTTCAAAGTTATGTTTTGGTGTCATGCGTAATTTTACCTTTGCACCGACCTGACGAATAGGACGCCAGTCTGCCAGACGCGCTCCACTGCGCTATTGATTTATTATATCTTCATCCCAAAGCTACTGCCTTTGTGCAGAAAACGAGTGAGTTACATGTATCGTCTTTGAACGTGGCGACTTTCCATGCAAAGACTAACTGCGCGGATAAATGCACTCTACGGTGGCTAAACTCCCCTAGCCGATTTCCGTAGAGTTTACAGTTTGTGAACCCACGTTGGTAGTATGACAGAGACTAGGTTTTGACCGTCTCATTAGCCTCGTCCGGTGTACCGTGGTTTGGGTGAAGTCCCTTCGGGCGTGTACGATCCTCTCCGCCCAGTTTAGCAGGCTGCCCGGTAGGAGTTTTACGTCCTGTAGGAGTTCTGCATGGCAGGGAACCCTGTTGACCTGGCAGCGGAGAACGTATACAGGCCCAAAGGGAACCCACCAAAACCACGATAAATGATATACGAGGTGCACAAGGTAAATGTTATACGAACGCCCACCGCAGCGTATAAACTGCACTCTACCGGAGGACAACATGCAGCGCCCCGCCTATGTCCGGTCAAGCGTACGATAGGATGCATTACAGGTAGATTTTTATCACCTTTTATAATCTCCTTATTTACACCATATACAAATAAATTAGCCCTTATCTCTTTTAGTACTGACTGGTGTACATGCTTAATAGACGTTACCTTTGCTGCTAGTAGTGATTTTACAATGTAAAATTGATATAATGTTCCCGAATTCAAAGTGGGCAAGATTTCTTTGTCTCCAGCTGTTAAATCCTACTTGATAATCTCATCGTGTTATCGTTACAATAGTGTGACGGCTATTCCAAGATTAGGGTGTACCAATGGCATCCCGGATTATTAGATCATTCTAACTACATATTCTGTTGACACTTTTTGATCATATAATCTAAATACAACTGTATGTACTAAACGTATTGTCCAGATAATCCGGAGGCTTTTTGGTAGATGCTCAAAACAATATGCTAGGAAGAATTTTATGCCCAAAGTTACCATAATATTTACGCTATACTGAACATTGCACTTTGAAATAGGCAATTTGTTAAATAAGCCATTGGGTAAGTTCTGACCAAAAAAATGAAATCAAGAACTGGGCAATATGTTAAGACTGTTTTGCTGAAAACTTGATGATAATTTGAAAAATCGTATTTCCTAGACTAGAGTGCCGTTAACAATATGCATTACATGTTATCAAAAATGCCTTTTTTGACACTTAATATCGCAAAATATATCATTGTATCCCCAAAATATTGTGATAGGACTAACCATGTTGCATGTTATACATGGTATATCTACATATGGTACAAAATATGTGTCTTCATGTTACTGGTACTTTGGGTTCAAATACCAGATGGCTTTCAGTTGCCTGCTTTTTTTGTCCGACAAAACGTGCAGTGTCCTTAGAGATGTACAAAATGGCTCTTTATCTCTTAAATATCGCTTAAATGGTTGCTAGAGTCCATTCCACGTCACCGAGAGGGTTGTTATTGTCATTATTTAGACATGCTCCCATTTGAACATCTTTTCAACATTCTAAGTACTTCCCTGGTTTTGTCAAACTTTTGATATATTCCTGATGTGGAATATGATATATCCAATAGTTTTTTTAACATATTTGTAACATCATTCTACCATTTTGGACCATTATTTACAATTGCTTTTGAGATCGGTCTGCATTCTGCAGGATGGCTGAGATTAGGGTCAAGAATCTATGGGTAGGGAGGGGTGTTATTTCATGAAAACCATTAGATTCAACTTTGGCCCTGATTTTCGTATACTCCCATGTCTCCAATGCATTCACTGCAAGCTGCAGAAAAAATCAAGCCCCAAACCCTTTCCCGGCTTCCCATAAAATGCATACGTGGCATACGTGGCGTATAGTGATCACGGAATCTGTCACTAAGTGCTCACTACTATTTGTCATCCACACATGGGTAGATGATGATAAAGTTATTGTGCTCGCGGACAGTTAACTTACACCATGGCACAATGGAAACCAATGTAGTGATGTAGAAACTTGGACTGTACAGGCTGCGGTTTTCACGCATTCCGCCTGGAGTTGTGGCTACAAGGCTACTGCCCCACGAACCTGCAACCTGAAATATTTTGGGGGGTCACGTGACGGTTGGTTTGCATTGACAGTATTGGCTAGCCTTCAAAAGGCATTCCTACAGGGGTACGGATCGTAGATAGAATTCTGAAAAAAAAAGGAAATAATTTCCCCCTCATTCTACATGTCCTCATGATATAAGGTAAATGATGTGGAACTGAAATTTTCAACGTTAAGTTTTGGTGTGATGCGTAATTTGACCTCTTCAGCGACCTGACGGACAAAGCCACCAGTCTGCTAGACGCATCACGTCCCACCACATGCGTTGATCGATCCTTAGACTAAATGACTTGAACCCCAAAGCTACTGTCTTTGTACAGAAAAAGAGATGGTTACATGTATTGCCTTTTTACTTCCCACAGACTAACCGCGCGGAAAAATGAACTTTACGGTGGCTAATCCTCTAAATTGTACTGTTTTTGAACCTGCGTTGGTAGAGACTAAGTTAGTTTGACCGTTGTTTGGGTGGGGTTCCATCGGGTGTGTAGACGATCCCCGCCGCCCAGTTCAGCTAGGCTCCCCGGTAGGAGTTTTGCATGGCAGGAGTTTGATAAAGTCCCGTCGTACTAAACTTACCGGGGAGCCCTGGTCACCAGGGAAGCAGTCTAACTGCCAATCTAATAGTAGAATGTTCTATCCGCCAGACGTTGCAAGTCGAGCAGCGCTAGGGTTTCGGTGTACGAGTTGTACCTGCGTCCCAGAATGATTCGGCAGGCGCGTTTCTGAACGCGCTC